CTTACCATGTAAATCCTCTTTGTTACCACATTGCTTTATGGGTAGCATGGACTACCAATTCAGAGATATAATTGAAAAGTCTGAAAAACGTCATCTAAGCCTTAATATTTTTGTCATTTATTTATACAACCTTGATCAACAAAGGAAAGAGCATCGCCTCTTTCAATCAATCGATCCATGCACCCTTCCACATCTTACCATGTAAATCCTCTTTGTTACCACATTGCTTTATGGGTAGCATGGACTACCAATTCAGAGATATAATTGAAAAGTCTGAAAAACGTCATCTAAGCCTTAATATTTTTGTCATTTATTTATACAACCTTGATCAACAAAGGAAAGAGCATCGCCTCTTTCAATCAATCGATCCATGCACCCTTCCACATAATGCTACTTTGTTACATTAGTTTTCATTATCTTCTCTTGATTGTTTAATAAGGAAAATTTTGCTCTAATGAATTTAATACAATTTTTAGTAAAAAAATAAAAAAAATTTAAGTCGTGTTCAATCATTGTTAGGATGCTTAAGAATATTGGTTTGCGGTTATGGCACTAAAATTAGAGTTTCAAAGAAATATGGAAGTAGATGGCAAATAGCGCTCCTTAACAAGAACCCTAATTAGGATTTCACAAATTTAAGGATTTGATGTAATGCATAATTAGGTTTTCCAAACTAAAAGAATTGATTCACAAATTCATTAAGTTGGCCTTCTGGTGGTAAAGTGAATAGAACAAAGGTTGCTCACAATTTAAAGATAGTGCTAGTGCCTCTCAATTCATAAGGGTTTGCTAGAATTTCCCTCAGATGGAAAAAGAAGGCCTAGAGGGTCTTGAGTAAGAGGGGATAAAGCTTAGCAGGTTGTAACAAGGAAAATTGACTTTAAACTCTCATGCTTTATGGCCCTAAACAAAACGATTACAATAAATACCTACTATGGCTCAGATCAAGTTGTACACAAAAGGATCACAACAAGATCCTTTCTTGCAGAGCAATATCTATCATTCAAAGATATCCAAACTATCATTATAAAATAAAGTAATATTTATAAAAGAAAGCCTCATATGCTAAACAATATCATGTCTATCAAATTAAGAAATATTATTATACATATCCTTACTAATTAAAAATAACTATATACAAAACACGGGCTTATGCAAATTTTAAAATATCTTACTAAATATAGAATATTAACAAAAATGCTAAAAAAATGTCCTAGCACCAAATGATCAAGGTCTGCATTATCATTCATTATTGTATGTAAGTGATGGCATGCACCCTCTTGATGTGGTTGGCCCATGGACTAGCCAAGTCTCCTTGACATGGTCATGTCCAAATGGTGTAGTGTGTCGGCTTAAGAGAAGCCAGTCAATATGATGTTGGTTAAAGTTAACATTAACCAACCAATTTGGTGCATCTAATCCATGATGATATAACCAACACAAATGTTGTTTTAACTGGCTTTAGGATGTAATCAAACAAAGGAGAGTTGTTGTCGCCACCATTTTGGATTGTTGCCTCCTTTAATTGCCTCTTGAGGTATGATAACTTGAAGAAATATGACTTGTGTGGCATACATTTCTTAACATTCACAATAATCATTTACCATAGACTATAATACCCCAATGTCAATAGTTATCATTTATTTTAACAATTTTCAAATAGGACACACACACATCTGATACAAGTAGCAAAGCACTATTTTGTAAATTTAATTTGAACGTATTATATGATGTAATTGACATGATATATTCGAGTATTCAATTATTATAAACTAACAACATGATAAAACATCACATTAGAGTTTTCAGATTCCAAACAAATAGCAAAGTGATTTTTAATGAAGAAATTGGCATACGTAAGAGAATCAAAATGAGGTTAATATAATGGAATTAATGCTTAAGAAAAACCGTATGGACCAGATAGAGTACTATAATAAAAAATAAGTCCATTCATAGAGTCAATGTGGAGTATCACATATGACATTTTCCATAGTTTTTCAAATAGATGCAGTGTGTGAACCTCCACAGAAAAGACCAGAACTAACTATTACCGAGATGTCCGTTAAATAATCAATATATAAAAAAGAAAAAAAAGCATAAGTGATGTTACTCCAAATTCATGACATAGCACAATCCACAAAAATAAAAAAGGCAAAGCAATTTTTAGATCACTATTCTCATACCAGTATAATCATCACAACCTAAAGTAAGATCTCATCGAACTGAATACAAATAATAACATACTTGAACGTATTTCCATAAGAATCTAACGAGAAACTTCGTTCAGGTACTAACTGCTTCAAAGCAATCAAATGCCGGAATTGCAAACAAAAAACTAGTTCGTAAATACTTCACTAATGTTGAACAAAAACTAAAAAACCAATTAGGTTTGCATCTAGATATATCTTTATCTACAATCCTTTGTGTACAATGGATTTAACATTAACAGTTCCATGTACGTTCCAAACCAAATCTTTCAAATTGGCTGATATATCAAAATCAAAAGCCACATTTGTTTTCCAAGTAATCCTAATAGAAGACAACATGGCATAATTTGGAGAGACAAAATATAAAATTGCAAACGCCGTTCTCTTCTTTAGTCAAGAAACAAGATAAGAGAAACTTCACCTCGAGGAACTCCTCGGCATAAGCCTGGGCGAGCTGTGCCTTGAGTTGGTCCATCATCGCCTCTGCTGAAGGGCCCGACGACCCGGACGCCCCGGATGACAACGAAGACGAAGAAGATGAAAAGGGATCCATAGCTAGTTTTTTTTCTCTTTTTTCTCTTTTTTCTCTTCTAAACTCTTTGCGGCAGAAAATGAAACCCTAGTTACTTGGACTGGTACAATGGAGATTTTATGGTTAACAGAGGGCAGTGGCTGCAAGTAAGATTTAACTAAGTAGGATAATAATCGTTAAATTTGGATTTTGAACATTTTAAGGCAATTAAATCCTAAAAATTATTTAATAGTCAAAAATTAAATTTAATTAAATTTTGATGAATAATTATTTATATTAATATTTAACTGTATTAGATCAAATAAAATTTTAATAATAATTATTGTTAATGAAATTAAAATAGAGTTTATAATTATAATGAATTTAAATAAATTATATTTAAGCATATTTATTATATATTAATATCTTAATTAAATATTAATTAATAAAGTATTAAATATTGAAAAAAAAAAAAACAATTTTCTTAGCGATAAAAATTGGAAGTGGCTTATTATCTATAAAACAATAAGTGTAATTCCCAATTACATTAAACCTATGTTCATTAAATTCATAGTTTAGATAATCATTAAATGTGAATTATTTATGTTCTTAGAATATATAATGTCACTCACACATTCACATGAGTATGCTAATGTATTTGTATTATCTTATGTATTATAATTATTATTGTAACATTTTGAATTTCTGAAATGATTTTTAAAATGCAAAATCTGAATTCCTATTTGAACTGCAGCATGGTGTCACTATGCCTTTGAGCGTCTAGGTGTTGGGTTTCGGAGAACAGTGGCCCCCGAAATGGCGCCTACAATGTTGAAATCTATGTTCTATATTAATTTTGAATTCGGCATGCAGAGCTACGATACTTTATGGTGGCGCGGCGGCACTACACATTAAAAATTATTTTTATACATAGTTTATCTCCAAGAAACCGCCTCTCTCACCTCCAACACTTGCTTGCATGAGAAGAAACATAAGAGGGGGAGAAGAGGAGAGAGGAAGGTAAAGTTCAGATTTAGGTCGTCAATCTGCTTCGCTGTTTTTACAAAAATTGCGTAGATCGAGGTAGAGAATTGTCATCCTATCTTTATTTTCAAATATTTTGATTTTGACCGACAGATTTTTTCTGAATAGATTTTTATTGCATTTTCCCCTTATTTATCAAATCAAGCTTTGATCACGCAACTTTCTATATATTATAGTACTGAATATTATTAACGATTTGACTGGTTAATTTTAAGATTTTATCTTGTATAAGAAAAGTTATACTATTTTATTTGATTTGCTCAAAATAGAATTTTAATATTTGATAAAAGCATATTGTTAACTAAAGAATTGAGCATGAAAATAGATATATTATTGGGTAATCAGTAATGGTTGGTCGCTATTACTTTTATAATAATGTGTGTATGAGAAACAAGTAAATGTTGGTTTACTCGTTGGTTGAAGTTTGATAACATGTACTAGATGATGGTCTGATGGACTTTCTGGTTTAGTGTTATCCTCTAGTGATTCACGTGATATAACATCACATTATTATAATGACAGTAAGGAGTGGCGACTATGTTTATTGAGTTAATGGTTGCATACTACTAATTACTAAATACTGGAAAAACACCTTGATAGGCAAAACTACATACTTGTTGAATATTATTAAATAATATTACTAAAATGTATGTTATTGATTCATTGTTACTATTCAACCTGATAGTTACTACACTAAATTATTGTTACTACACTATTATCACCATACTATTTTATTATTCTATTGATCATTGGTTTATTGTCACTATATTATTTATTGTTACTATCATCAGTATTATAAATATTGATATTGTTATTGTTAGTGATTCATTGTCATTGTTGATACTATTAATACGTTATTTACTAATCTATTGATAATGGGCATGTGATTCCCAAACTGAATAAGTGATATTGAGCATGCGATATAAAATAATGATTGCATATTATACTTTAAGATATTGATTAGATACTGGTAAATAATTGTTGTACTTCATATGTATGCTGATTTGATTGTACCGTGCAGTCATGGATTCTCACATTTTTCTAGATATTTCTTGTTATTGATTTACATGATTTCCCCATTGTTTATTTGATTCAATTTCTTTACTATGTCGCTGATTTAGTGGCTTATTGATTTACTTGTTTATTAGTACCAATTCAACTGATTTTCATATCAAATTGCTCTACCATTCACTAATTTTATTATTTTTGAACTGCACAGATCCATGATCATAATGATTGTTATTGTTATGAATTGACTAACAATATGCATACTGCTTCTTTACTGTGCTTTAAGTTTAATTGTAGGATTTAGTAATCTGTTGGACTTCTTAGCTCATTATATATGATTTAAATAATTTTAGATCAAGACAGAGGATCATGAGTGTAATATTGATCAAGATTCCTCATTGGCTTTGCTTCTTTGTTTTAGTTATTCATTTGTACTCACAACTTGATGACATGCTATATTTTTACGATTCTTGAGTATTGTACATAATTTTTTTAAAAAATAAACACAAATATTATTAATGTTTTTATCAATAGAATGATTTTTGTTGTTAGTGTATATTAAATTAGATAGTTATGATTGTTGTATAATAAAAGATAAAAAAAGAATTCTTCTAATTTAAATTAAGGGCGTTATAATTATATACTATTAATAATTAATGTATAATTTATTTATTTATATTGAAATAATAAATACAATTTTATAGAAATATAGGGGTCCAATTTTTGTGTTTTACATGTCTTCTAGTACAAGTGATGACATTAAAAATAGCAATTCTATTATAATTTAGAAATTTGACCATTTATGAAAATTTTCTACTTTATAAATTATTGTGTTACAAATATTGTCATGAACAAAAAGTTGGTTATTATTTATAATTATCTTCAAAATGTTAAAGCAGAATAAGTTTTCATCGCCATCATTCAAACATAAAAAAAAAAGCATTTGCGTTACTCTCATCTAACAAAGGATGGAAAGATTTGTTATTTGTCATTTTCATCAAACATTGAGTAATCAAGGAGGCTTTCAATCATCATCAATGCATTAAGGGGATGTAAAAGAATACTTCAGATTGATTTGAATGAGTGTAAAAAGAATGATTGAGATTATTATTTTTTGTCTAGTTTGAAGTAAAATAAATGTAATATAAAGTATAAAAAGACAGCAGTCGGTAACCAACTTTGGCGGCGATGGTAATAGACAACAATGGTGGCTGGTGATGTTGGTCGGCAGGCGACATAGGTGATGGTCGGTAGCAGTAGTGGACAATAGCAATGGTCGGTGATTGTGGCTGGAGGCGGCGGGTGACTTGTGACGGCAATAGCAATAAATTTTTGATGTATTTGGAACTTGCAAATCAGAGAAATTCTAAATACACAAAAAATGAACTAAATAGTAAATTCAAAATGTACCAAAAATTTATACTACATTTATTTTACTTCAAATCAAATGTAAATATTTTCAAAACCTATGTGTTTGAAATACTATATACTCCATTTACAGTCAATCAAACAACCTCTAAGATTTATCCATTCACTTAGCATGGATGAGTTCTATATAAAAGGAGGTATGGGAATTTTTTCCAACCTCTTTCTCTCCTTTTTTTTTTTTTTTGCCCCAAAAGCAATGTAGGATTGTTTGGATTGTTTTATTAAATAAGGATTTAATCATATTATATTTAATATAGCGAGAAAAACCCATGTTTAAGATGGAGAAAATAATTTGAAGGTGTTGATGTTGATGGCTATGTGAGGAAACTAAAAATAGTCCTAAATATGGGCTATAAACTAGACAACCATGTAATTATATTTGTTATGTGTATTGAATCAAGGAATGCTTGGAAGGCCAATTGAATATTTTAGAAATAGATAATGCTCTAGAATTCTATGTGAATATATGATATAAATGTGAAAAATGAGTAGAATTGAGAATAAATTTATAAATTTTGACGGAGGTATTTCAGCTGTTATTTAGAAGTATATCGAAGGATTTCATGTTATTATCATCAATGAACATACTAAGATTTCGTTTGGAGCGACTTTCTTACTGCTTCTTAAAACAACTGTATCGTACAAGAATTAATTTTTTTGTACTAAAAAATTATATAAAAAAAAATAAAAAAACAATTCCAAAATGAAGCCTAAATCATGCTATTTCCTTGAATAAAAATTATTTGGTGATCCCTCCACCCCTCCACTAAGCTAACCTAACTTTTTTGGGTCTATTTGAGCAATTAAATACCCTTTGATTATATCATTATGGATATGACTAAAATGCCCATACACATAAATAAGAAAATCTATCCAAGTTTCATAGATTTAAAGAGATTGTGATAAAATTTTGAAGAGGATTTCATAAGAGAAACTTTAGAGCTCTAGTTACCAATTAGGTTAAAATCTATCATCATCAATAAAAATTGACGCCCTCCATTTACAATGTGGCCAATGCCCATAATAAACAATTAGGCATCACCAATTATATCAGCACTTGCCTTCTACACCAACATTGATGCTTCTCATCGTCAATATGGTAGTTACTCGTCATCGACACCAACACTCTCACCTACCATCATAAACAAGGCTAACATTCATTGTTTAATTGCATCATTGACAATACTTACTATCACCAATAAAGTCATTATCCACCATTAAAATTGAGTCTAACACTCTTATTGCTAAGGCGAATTATTGCATCCGGTCACCTGACATCCGGACAACCAATCCGGATGCGCCACGTCACCCAAATACGTCAGGACTCCGTATATTTTGCTGATGTGACACGTCTGGATTGGTGTCCAGACGAATCTAGACACCGGACGAAATAATTTACCTATTGCTACAATCTCTAATGCCCACTATTATCACAAGACCAACATCTATTGTCAACAATAAGTACAACACCACCATCACTAAAAAGGATGCTACCCTCCATAGCTAACAACATTGACACTTATTATCGACATTAGCATTGATGCTCGTCACTGTCAATAATATCGATATTTGATAATAGGTACTACACAAACGCATACATGCAAGTAGAGGTGTCAATATTTGACCCGACCCGAAAATTTCGGGTTCGGGTCAACCCGAACCCGAACCGGTTGGGTTCGGGTTAGGGATTTCGACCCGTTTGTAAAACCGATTTGGGTTCGGGTTGAACCGGAAACCCGAAATCAATCCAGTTTGACCCGGTTTTAATTAATTTAGGAGGATTTTAAAGGATTTTTATGAAATAAGTAAATGATATTTCAAAAAATTATAAACATTGTTTCTCAAATTAAATTAATCTTGATTTATTTTAAATTAATTGAAGTAAATCTTACCTTAATTTGATTTAGATTTAAATAAATTAAATTAAATAAAAAATTAATGAAAACATACCCGAAACGGGTCGGATTCGAAAAACTGACCCGTTTGTAAAAGCGAGTCGGATTCGGATCGGATTGAACAATATCAGGTCAATTTGACCCGTTACCCATTTTAGACAGCTCTACTGCAAGCACAGACACTTCCGTCAAGCTACCGCACTACAACATCTTTTCTCTCAACCTGTCCTCCATACCCCATGGCCGTCTCTCCTGCGTCGGGTCCTTTTTGTCCCATTAATCAACCTCTTATGGTTCCGTAGCGATTCCAGCGTCCTAAAAGCAATTCCACTGGCTAATTATCCCAATTCGATCTCCACCTCACTGTTATGGACTCCACCATCGCCGCCGCGCTCCTGTTCCTTCTCATCCTCTTCTTTTCATCACCGGCCAACCTTTTTCCTCCTTCTTCTCCCTCTTCTTCCCCCGATATCTCCACCTGCCTCCTTTCCTCGGGCGTTCACAACTTCTCCGTTGCCAAAGACTCCCCTTTCTTTATCCATCTCCTGACCTTCTCTATCCAAAACCTTCGCTTTTCACGCCCTTATCTACCTCGCCAGCTCGCCGCTGTCATCCTCCCCCACGACCTCCCTTCCCTCCGAGCCTCTATCCTCTGCTGCCGGGCATCCTCTCTTACAATCCGCCTCCGAAGCGGCGGCCACAGCTACGAGGGCCTCTCCTACCAAGCAGCCAGCCATGCCGGTTCCATCGCCGTCCTCGACCTCATGAACCTCGACCACATCGACGTCGACGCAGCCGGCCAAACTGCTTGGCTGCAAACCGGCGCCACTCTTGGCCAGCTCTACCATGCAGTTGCGGCCGCAGCCGCCGTTTCTTCACCCCAACCGCTTGCCTTCTCCGCTGGCTCCTGCCCCACCGTTGGCTCCGGTGGCCATATCGCCGGCGGCGGTTTCGGCCTTCTCTCGCGTAAATACGGCTTAGCCGCCGACAACGTGTTGGACGCCATTCTCGTTACGGCCGATGGGCGTTTCCTTGATCGGGAGTCTATGGGGGAGGATCTTTTCTGGGCCATACGCGGCGGCGGCGGTGGTGCCTGGGGGGCGGTTTTTGCCTGGAAGATCCAGCTTCAAATTGTTCCTATCCGGGTCTCCGCTTTCATCGTGAATCGGCCTGGTTCGAACCTTCATGTAGCTGAGCTGATCGATGCGTGGCAGAGGGTTTCCCCTACCCTTCCCGACGAGCTCTACGTCTCTTGCTTTGTGGGTGGCGGCCTACCGGAGTCAGAGCGATTAGGGATGTCAGCCACATTTAAGGGCCTATATCTCGGCTTGGCCAGTGACGCTCTGTCCACCATTGCAGACCAATTTCCTGAGCTTGATCTCCTGGACTGGGAGGTCCAAGAGATGAGTTGGATTGAGTCGGTTCTTTACTTCTCAGGTCTAAAGAGTGGGAGCTCCGTCGACAACCTCCTGGATCGGGATCTCCATTCTAAGACATTCTTTAAGGCCAAATCAGATTACGTTCGGACTCTCATTGAATTTCATGATCTTCTTAAACTGGTTAATCTGTTATCGACGGAGCCGAAGGCTTACTTAATCATGGACCCATATGGTGGATCGATGGCACGAAGGAGAAGCGATGATCTGCCATTTCCGCATCGGAGCGACAATCTTTATGCAATTCAACATTTGATTGAGTGGAAGGATGAAGATGATGATGGGGATAGGGAGAGGTACATGCAGTGGTTACGAGAATGGTATGAGTTCATGGGGCCAATGGTCTCCAGCGGACCGAGAGCAGCTTATGTGAATTATCTAGATTTGGATTTAGGGTACAGAGGATGGGCGACGGAGACTGAGGAAAGTGGAGATCCAGTGGAGGAGGCGAGGACATGGGGGGAGAGGTATTTCTTAGGGAATTATGATCGATTGGTTCGAGTGAAGACGATGATTGATCCAGACAATGTGTTTTGGAATGAACAGAGCATACCGCCATTAACGTTGAGATGTCCATTCACGAGGCATGGCAAGGAGAAATTTTTCTGTGCGGAGGGGGGAGCCAGCTCTATTTCTCGAGGCGAATCAGCTGCAGTCATTTCAGCAGTACTGAACTACGGTACCGAGCAGTATAGACCCACGATACAAAGATAAGGAATGACGTGACACATTCTGATTGGTCTCCAAATAACATTCGACTTTCGCACATAATAATTAATCCATGACAATGCATATAATTTATAAGGATTAAATTTTAATCATATAGGATCATATCTTCATTATTCAATTTATAGTTATAGCACCCACCATCCAACTGAATCATAAATCAAACAATATTTTTAAAATTTGAACAGACTCACTGTTCACATTGGAGAGAAAATACAAAATAATTTTCTATTTGACTTTCACGTGAAGATTTCCGGCAGCTGCAAATAGATTACGGCAGCTGCAAATAGATTATAACTGAATGACATTCGGTCGCATCAAAATGCCTAAGTTCTTGCAGAAACAATTGGATAGTAAAACTGGACAAAATTATCATAAATATAGTTAGCTTGTAATCATGCACCTCTTGTATTTTAAATGAAATTAATTGAATATTGTTTCAAAAAATTTTGTAATTCTTTTATGTAATTTAATAGGGTTTGAAATGGCCTATATAATTCATTCCAGATGAGCTTGATCCAAAATTAAGGTCTGATGTTTTATGAAGTTTATTATAAAATTATTATGAGAAAAATAATTTAACTATTATGATTACAAAAAATATCATTCTATCATAGAAAAGTTTGAAAATCAGTAAGAAATAAAAATAGTAGACAATCCAAATTATGATTGTTGCTGGAAAAGAAAAATAATGAGAAGGTTGCCCCAACTCCCAAACATATCCTAAATCATAATTGCGGTTTGAGTTTTTTTTTTTTTCTAAAAAATTAAGTTTATGTCTAGATATTCTAAGAAAAAATTGATCAAAATAAAATTTAGAATTTTTAGATTTATTTTTAGTTTAAAAGAGAAGCATAATACAAAGTTAAGTTTTGGAAATATGATTCGAAATGAGCATATACGTGAAAAGGTTGAGTAGCTCCAGTGCAAGATAAGATTAGATAGAGACGCCTTAGATGATTTGGTCACATTAAACAGAGGCCTTCCGATGACCCAGTTAGGGAAGTTGAGATATTAGATTTGACTTATGTTAAGAAAGGTAGAGGTAGACCTAAAAAGACTTGGTTAGAAAATATTAGAAATGATATTTCTTTATTATATTTAAATAAGAATTTAAATTTTAACCGAACACAACGACGAAAAAGAATTCATGTAGCCGACCTCACATAGTGGGACAAAGAGTACTTGATGTTGTTATTACTTTTAGTTTATTCATAAATAAATTATTTTGTATTACACTTACCCCAAAAAAGATCTAAAAATTTTAAATTCTTCCTGATAATTTTTTTTATAGCATTATCTTCAAATAATTTTTTTTCTTAGTTCAAACAAATCTTGGAGAAAATGAAGAAGGAAAAAAATAGAGTAGGATCAATCCACAATGAAATTCAAGAAAAGTAGGCAAGAATGATTCTTAGAGCCTTTTGGAATCATTTTATTTTCCATCTTTTTCTGAACTTTGGCGTGGACAAGAAGGAGCATAGAGGACTTTGTCAAGAAGGAAACCCAATGTAATTATTTAATTAAGATTCTATTTTTTTTTGTGCGGCTTTCTTACTGTTTTAACTTTTCAATATAAAAATTTAAATTTTTTTAATAGAAGAAGCAGTAAAAAAGTCGTCTCAAATAAAGTCTAAGATTTTATTGTGATCATCTTTATTTTTCTTTTTAAAAATTATATTTATTTAATATACATATATATAACTTTTTAATAATTTTTTATATTAAAAACTAAATTAAAATATTTTTAGTGTTTTAATAACAACTATTATCATCAATATCACTGCTTACAATCATGGACCATCATTCCAACACGTAAAATAATGAAACTAAACCTACATTTTTTAAAATATTAAATATATTTTATTTATTTCAAAATATGAAAAATATAAAAATACGACAAAAAAGTCCAAAAATTATTGATATTTAATTTTGAGCGAATTAAATACAAAGCAAGAAGATCTACCTTTCAAGGCAGCTTTCTTGTGCTTGTTTGGTAACTGCGCACTAGTCCTGATAAATCCAGCCTAATCCTTGTCTTGCTCTTTACCTGCTTTAGCGATAAGAGTTTTATTCTTCTTTCTTTGTTTATCTTTTCAGGGTTGGATCACATTTTCTTTGTAAAATTTTAATTTCGGCTCGAAATGAAGAGATGCGTTTGCCATTATTCTCTATAAAATTATGGAGTTTGGGATAATTTTCTTACCGTTTTTTAAATTAGCTTTTATCAACAGTTGTTTAATTTGGTTGGTGGGCGAGTGCAGTTGTAAATCCCCCAACCCGTGCTCTATTCCTCTCTAGCGGCAGCGCTTGTTAAGTGAGACTCAATTAAGTGCGGGCCAGGAGGTTCTTGGGGTGGGTGCCTCTTCTAGGCCAGTCGAGGATTAGTCACGTCGTGAAACGCCCTTTCGGGGGTGGCAGCGGGTATTGGATTCTCCGTTCCAAAAAAAAGCTTTTCTATTAAAAAATTGATTTAGAAACAAAAAAGCTGCAAGGCTTCTTTTAGGCAGTTTTTTACCACTATGTTTTTTGCTACTTCTCAATTTTTTTTTGTTAGAAAGTGAGGAAGAAATAATAAAAAAACTGTCAGCCTATGAAAAAATTTTTATAAAGATATTTTCATGCAAAAATTATAAGAGAGCTTAGTTTTTATGTGATACCTGTTATATGATTAAGTGGAAAGATGATAAGAATATTGATACATATTAAAAATTTCATTTGATCAAACACAAATCTTAATAAATCATTTGACTTGAATATGTTTGTAATTAAATTTAAGGCTATATGAACTCCGATTTCGACAAGCTTATAGCCAAGGAGTCCGTTCAACGTGAATCGAATCCAACTATGCCAAAAAAGTGATATGATCCGACTTCAAATAAGCCCAAATTAAATATGATAGAAAATTTTATGATATTAATTAAATGATCGAACAATCAACAATTTTTTCACAGTTAACATCAAAACGAATATCTCTACTACAAAAAAATAGAGCTACAATTTTGGACTTCTCCCGGCGACTATCGCATCACAATCTTGGTGACCTGTGTTGATTGTTTAGCAAGTGGCTAGAAGAGCAAATTTGTCTTTCTTTTGATGTGTTTAGACTTGTTCTTATTATTTCACAAGATTGTTTACATGGGATATATCATAATAATGGAAGAGAATTTTTGGTTGATCTTATTATCGAATTCACAATATTGACAATAGAATATGAAATAATTTCTTAGGAAGGCCAACTAGTTTTATCAAAGCTAATACAAAAAATTCAAAAGTTTTTTCATATTTAATATTTTTTAACTAGAAGCACCTCCTTAAAGCAGCTTTCTAGTTCTATATAACCCATAGTACCAACATATGCTTCAATGCATTACATATGCTTGAATGCATTAGTGATACTTTGCTATAGAGACATGAGTGCTACATAAGCATTTCAAATGAAATCTTAGGAATGAAACTACAAGCTACACAATCATTTATACGAATTAAATCATAAGCTACACAAGCATTTCCAATGAAATCACAAAATAATAGTAGAAAACAAAAAATTATATGAAACCATAAGCAAAACATGGACGGAGTTGTGCCGAGCATGCAAACACGAGCGTGAGCTCAGGTTAGGGGACAAACATGCCAAGGAGAGGAAGAGCTAGAAGCGAGTAGACAGACTTTAGGCTTCGACACAGTTGTGTTCTCTTCGATCGAAGGCAATGAGAGTGGATCTATGCACGAAAATGAAAGAAACGTGAAGAGGGTTAGTCGATCAACTCGAGATAGAAAGGGGAGAGACGAGCGTCGAATCGGGTATAAGGGCTAGGGTTTCGATGCTGGGCTATACCAGCCGTCAAATCAGTGCAAAAATGATGGTTTTAGGGCGGCGGTTTTCAAACCGCCCTTAACAACTGTTGCCAAAAATCATATTTTTTAATAGTGAAATAATACAACAAGATCAGTTAAATTTAAGATCATTAATATATTCAAAATCAATGCTGGTAATCTAACATAATGTTTTGACATTTTACATAAATCTGCTCAAATATTACTTCAAAAATTTATAAATGAACCTTAATTCTCCACATGGTGGAAACTAATTAGGCTTCGTTTGGGACGGCTTTCTCACTACTTTTTAAAGCAAATTTTTAATATAAAAATTTTAATTTTTGTACTAAAAAAAATATTTTAAAAAACAATAAAAAAATCGTCCCAAAGTAGGTCTTGAGCTATTAATCATTGTACACTTTATCCCTTGATCTTCTTTATCTATTAATCATTTATGGATTAGCATTCTGCCGTAGAGCTTTTAAAATCATGATGTGATTACAGAAAACTTCCTTATCTATATGGACGGTGACATTGACCGTAAAGTCCTCTAAAAAATGATCAATAATTAGGTGAAAAGATATCATGGAAGGATAAGGAATATTATTTTTCCACATAAAACAACCTTCATGAACAAGACACGCAGAGCGCATTTAAATTTTGCTATTAAATGACTCAATATTAAATCAATCCAGCAAAAAGTTTCATGGCTTTCGCAATAGATTTGTAACCCAACTCATCTTAGTCTGTTGATTGAGATGTTTGACTACTAATCGAGAGGTCTTAGGTTCGAGTCTCGTGTATGTTATGTATGTGAGTTTGTCTTAATTGGCCTAAGTCCACTGCCTTAGGCTTAAGATTTGTTGATGTTTGCATTGCAACTTAGTACTCAAAAGATGGTAATAGTGATTGCTTTAACATGAAATGCAATTGAGTTTTTTTTGTTCTCATGAACCTCTCCCACGTAGAAAATAAGATCCTATTTATAGTTTTTTTAGAGAGAAACTTTGGTTAGTTGGCCAAAATCCAAAATACTCCATCGAATAGTTCATGTTGATCTCTTTAATCATAGATCATTTATTCAATATAAGTATCTTAATGACTTCATAATTAAATAATCATGGGTCCATTCAATTCATCTCATCGAGCCACTCAATTTTGTTATAAGTACTCAACATTTGGATATCATTTGTTTATTCTAAAACTTATGTTTTTTTGAGATTTTTGATCTACTTGTATATATTGAGGCTTATGGCTTCTAAGATTTTTATATACATATATCTTATGAGGCTTATTTCTTCTGAAATTATGTATATATATATATCTTATGAGATTTATGCGTAACGAGATTTTTGGATGAGTGAAGATTATTGCTACTCAACCTCGAACAAATCAATCAATTGGATGCAAGTGAATTTATATTTCAACTAATCTGACTTTTCACGAACGAACTAAACACATCGAAATAGATTGATATACCCTTTAGATTAGTTTCATATTCGACCGATACATTTACCAAGTCGTCATCTCTTACTACTATGGCTTACTTAGCATCCAAGTTGGGTATCAAAGACCATTTTGGGAAGGAGTATTGAAGCCGTGTCATTTGTGCTTCTTGTAATGTAGTTTCTTTTGTTTTTTGTTTTTTTGTTTTATCATTTATATACAAAGTTGATCATGCACAACTATAAAAAATGAAAAATAATAATAAAGTTTCTTTCACTTTCATTTTCTTACCTGATGCAAAAAAAATATAAACATCAATCTCATGATTAATTCTAATGCTCAACTAATAAGCCACCATCTCATTAAAAAAGATGTGACAGCTACATTACAATAGATCAATAATACAAATTTACAAAAAAGATATTTTCACTACTAATATGTGGTGGAGATAATGCCAAAATTAATTTTGTTATAAAAATATTTGCTTGATTTGCATTCAAATTTGGAATGGGTATTTGTGTAAAATGGTAATTACATTTTTTTTTAACAGGGGTATCTACCTGCTGCCACCCCCTTTAGGAGGAACAATTATTACGTCCTCCAACCGGACGTAGAAGAATGTACGGTCGGAGGCCAACGCGCCAAAAAATGAGAAATACCGAGCAATACCAAACAATAACGAGGAATACCATCACGTGAAGATCTAATACCGAGTTATACCAAGCTATACCGAGCAATACCGAGTTATACAAAAGTTGTACCGAGTTTTTCCTAGAAAAAGCTCGGTACTGCTCGGTATAACTTGGTATTGTTCTTCACAGAGCGGTATTCTTCGTTATTATCAAATAATATCAAGCAATACCGAGCAAATACGGAGTTTTTTTACTGGATTTTGCCTCCGACCGGACGTTCTTCTACGTCCTTACACCGGACCTAATAAAAGTTCCTTTAGGAGACGCTTTGATTGATTAACTAATTCCTTGATGAGCTTACCAGCAACCAGCCCCACAGGTGCAGGAACCACAGTTATTTTCTCCTCACTTAAGGGGTCACGCCGCATGAGGGGGGATTCGAACATGGGTTAGGGGGTTTCCAAACATGCTTGCCCACCAACCCAGCTAAGCTCGGTGGGGTAATTAACACTAATTTCATCACAATTTTTTTATCAAAATAAGACATTATAGCTTATTATTATTTAATAATATTAATTGTATTTTTAATCGCTCTTTTTTACATGATATTAGTCTTATAGTTATTTTCATTTCTTAAAAATCTTAGTAAAATTTAATGCTTTTTAGGACTTACACTACTTTCTATATCAGCGAAAAATGGGTTGTTGAGATTAATAAAATTAATTATATATCGCCTTCATAATGCTTAGTTCAATCGTTAGAGATTATAGCTTAGATCAGCCTCTCTTTGATATCAATAGGATCAAGAAAGCTAAATAAAAACCGATGTTAGGGTTACTTGAAAAGAAGTAGAAGAAGATTTCTTGATCATTTGCATTTGACAAATCACTAGAAAATTCGTCCAATCAAGTAAAAATCTCCATTTAATTTTTGAATTAAAAGTTTTTATAATTAATTCAAGGTCATGTGGATTTTAATTTTAGCAAATTTATAGTTGAACTGAATGTGTTGATGAGATGAGTCTAATAGCACCAAAAATATGTTGATTCGAGACCAAATGATCCAAATTGAACACTTGAAGCGTAATTAGAAATTTCATGATATTAATTGAATGATGAAATGATCATTGAAAATAAGCTTACTCGTTAATTCACCGTTACATTTAATCCCCAAATGTAATATTCTTGCATGCTTATAATAAAAAAAAAAAAATCAAAATACGCATTTTGACTAGAGGAATCTAACCAACCCAAAATCACTCAATTCCAAGCTAACTAAGCACTTAAATGTTAAAAAAAAAAGTTGATGATCAAGGGATTCAACATAGGTCGTCCAATAGAATATTTTGGAATTTTGGCTAAATTTTCCAAAATTAAATTGATGCCCTTGCTTTATATGAAAGATGCATGAGTTTTAACTTTGACTTGAAATTGAAGAGAGCTAGAAGATCCGAGGAATTCTTGAGCACCACCCGACATTCAATACAGGCATTCAATGCTAACAACTGCTATTGTTGATCCATCATTGCCCTTCCAATATCGCCAATCCATCAACACTTGACTATAATTGCTTGAATATTATCACCAGTCCGCCGTTACCTAAATTTCATCACCCAACCACCTTTATTACCCTACTATGATCTCTTGACCACCATCATTGTACCATGTTCTCCCAATTACCATTGTCTGTCTACCATCACTCAAATGCCATCTCCCTTTATCTTCTTACTAACAATGTCGATGCACATCGTTGCCTAGACAATCAATGTACAATGCTGACACAAAAGCTAACACTAGCCAATTTTGTTTCTAATTGTTTCCAACAACATCGATATGTGCAATCATTAACACTATTGATGCACGCTGTCGACATCAACTCTAACTTTCATCATCAACATAAAGAGTTATACTAGATTTATTGGTTTTGGTCTTCTCTCCTCAATTGAGATTAATCAAACAAACTATAAATGATCTCTTATTGATAACTTCAATACCTATATGCCCCTTCAAATTCTATCATGAAATCCATCATCTATAATTCATGTCTACTAAATTGTATATATCAAATCCTTACCCAATTACAAAAAAATGTTATCATTTATAACTAATGATATATACATTATTGAATCAGATCAATGTGCCCATACTCCATAGCTTTACCATTTTCTTAGTTTCCCCATAAGAATGTTGTCTCTATGAGTTGCTCTCGACCTATCCTATATGTATGTCTGCGAGGTATTTGTATAAAGTGATGAAGATAAACTCTCTTTTTCTTTATTATCATGAATTTTCTAGTACACAACAGTACTAAAATAATAGTCTTATATTACATAATCTTCTTGTTCGTCCCAAATTCAACATCATTCATATATTCAGATGATGATTAAACGACCAACTTTTCTAAGATATAACCTATATTAACACTAACAAAAGACACACATAAAATCCAAAAAAAAAAAAAAATCACTTGTAAACAATACTTTAGACAAAATTATCATCCCAACCAAGGAAAAGCATTAATTTTCATATTATCTATTAATAATATTAGTAAGTACAACTTAACAATAATCATGATTACAATTGAAAAACATTCCATGGGAAAAATGTTGGAATTGTTAATAATTAAAAATAGTCACACTGCCTCAATAGACTCCTTGCTCTCCCTACCACCTTCAATTTGCTTTACTTCTATGCCATGGGCCTCCTTGCTCTTACCCCACAAAAGGATATAAAGTCCAAAAATCACAAGGATGGACCCCAAAAGACTGCCAACATATTACAAAAGCAACTGGTTAACATAAATTAATATTTTTAAAATGAATTTTTTATAAAAAAAATTTAGAATTAAAAATTTTAGTACTTGAATGCTTTGTTCCAAACGAAGTCTAAGATTTTTTTTGGAACAACTTTTTAATTGCTTTTAAAGTAATTATTAGGTAAAACTATTTTAGAACTAAAAAGTTGCTTTAGAAATTAATAAGAAAGCTGTCGCAAATGAAGCCTTAGGCTTTGTTTGGTCGGCTTTCTTATTGCTTTCTAAAACAATTTTTTAGTATAGTATTTTTTAGTTTTAAAAAAAATTTGTACTAAAAAATTATTTTATAAATCAATTAAAAGCAGTCCCAAACGAAACCTTAATGTATATATATATGTATAAAGCTTTAATTAGAAGAATAACTGATTACCTTCCAAGGTGCAATGGCTCTCCAAGAATGTAAAGATCAATGGCGCCTACAATAAATTGGGTCAATGGATTAAACGCTGCAGTAAAGACAGGACCTTTTTGCTTAATGCACCATGACGATGCCAACAAACAGATTCCTGAACCCATCAGACCCTGAAGATCACAAAGATCATTAAAAAATACACATCATAGCATACAAGCAGATTTTAATATACTTCTTGTTGAACAAATATGTATCCTCAGCCAGAAAAAGAAGGGCCCATATGAGCATTAGCTTACCGAGTATAACACGGTAGCAATCTCCAACTTCGAACTAAAAGCCCAAACTGAAGCTCTTCTCTGCGTAACCAAGTTCAGCACTGAAACCTGTAAGAAACTTTGGAAGAACATAACTGTAGTGCTAGTATACAGTGCAGGATAGATCTTCAGTATCTTGGACTGGACAAGGAACCAAGATGACCAGCTAGAGCAAGCTCCAAACAAAGCAAAAGACCCCAAAATCCATTTCCAAGTCCTGGTGTGATTGATAGACTCAGCTTCTTTGTGCTGGGAGGATTGAAAGCTGTGAGATGGGCTACTTAGAGCCATTCCTTTGTATAAAGTAAGCAGCAATGCACCTGCAACGCACACTGTAGCTCCCATTATCTTCATCATCCCAGCTTTGGTCTTTAGGTCCACTCTCTCAAGTCTGCATTATTGTTAAAGAGTTTTTAACTTAATTTCTTAACGCTGAAAGTAATAGGGTTATCAAATCTTTTCATAAAGAGAAGAAAGAAGAAAGACCGGAATGGCAGGGCCATGAGGAAAGTCGTGACAGGAACCATGTTGAGAAAAGCACAGGCAAAGGTAGCAGACGTGTACTGTAGCCCGATAAAGAACAAATATTGGGTGAGAGAGACCCTGCAATTCAGTAAATAATACAACACATTAAGAAAAAGAACACTTACTTTATACTAATTATGAAAGGCTAGAAAAAAATTCTATGTTGCTCACTTATAATGGAAAACAACATGCTTTGGTCAAGAAAAAGAGAGCAACAGAGAAAAAAATTTAACAGAGAAAGAGGGAGAGAGAGATTACCCAAGGAGAGCACTAATGAAGATATACATGAATATCTCCGTTGTGAGCTTCAAAATAGCCTTGCGCTCGCACACGTAGGCCACTGGAGCCATGAACAAAGCTGCAACAAGCTGACGAAGAATGATCAGAACCAGGCGATTCATCCCTTCATCAATCGCTTTCTTAACCATTACGTTCATAACTGCAAATGCCAGTGATACTAACACCATCACTACCACTGGCTTCCATCCCATCTTCTATTCTTAAATCTTCTTAGTTCTGTTAAGCTTTCTGAAATAAAAATACTGTCCATCCATCTCTATTTAAACTCTTCCATAAGCTACAGTACTGTACTCGTAGCAAAAAACATTTCAGTCACATATTGATGGCGGAAGCATCAAGTCTCTCTTATTAGCAAGAATCCACGTTTTAATTGTTTGCTAATTAAACATGATTAAAGCTTGCTTTTCTTTGCATTTTCGAAAATTCAAGGAGAATGTAATCCTTTTTTTAATTAGTATCCAATGCTCAACTCCAATATGATCCGATTCCAAAGCAGGTATTAGTTTTTTTTTGTCACATGGGACTAGGACCCAACAAACAGTGTTACTGTTTCACTTTAGCCTCTTCAGCATGGGAAGGGTTTGGATATGAAATCATCTATGAGATGTGGGACTAAATAATCATTTTCCATGTTAATCTATAACCACCAGATTAAAATTCACTTGTCTTCCGCCCAGGCATGCGTGTTCATATCCATCTTTCACCCTCATTATGCTTGGGAGAGGAAATTGACCGAGTGCATCAAAGCAGATGACGTAGAACAAACTTGTTGTGAATTCTTGGAGGAAAGGAATGGAGATATCATGTAAGTAAGAGGAAGAGATGATCAAAGATTCAATAAAAGCTATCATGGATTATCTCAATTGAAAAATCGGAGACATCCAAGAAGTGTTGGCGGCATTTCAAAAGGAATTGTCTGAATAGAGAAGAATGATAAGGAGCTGAGCTCAAAGAAGAGGTAAACTTAACAGTGGCAACAAATTCAGATGTACACGATTCAACTGATGTGTTGGTTGCATTCAATGCTATTATGTGGGTCACTATTTTTTGTTTAATACAATATAAAATCGGACCATAGTGGAGATTGCTAGTATTTGGTCTAGTTTTAAAATTAGGTCTACCTGTTATTTATCAACATAACATATAGGTTATAGTTACTATGCAAGAAGTCATATCAGTGTCAAGTTGCTTATTTATATATATAGTTCATAGTTAGGTTGGTCTCTAAGGTTTGTATTTTGAGAAATTATTCTGTGTGGAGACCGGACGCAGAACGTTATTGAAAGAACAACCAAAATGCGCTACATCAGCAGTACCGAGTAGTATTGAGCCGCGAGAGGTACCGAGCAAGAGATAACGTGGCGTATTTTGATTCGTCTCCCGACAACGTTCGACATTCACACAAAATAATTAATCTTGTATTCTCAAGAATAAATCAATAAACATTTGTGTTATGTGAGCTCTCTCTCTCCTACTCTCTCTCAATTTTACTGTCTCTAGATGGAAGAAGGAAGAAGCAAGAAGCCAAGAAGCATCATCTTCCTTCAAGAATTTATAAAAAAAAAAAAACTTAATTATTCTCACGTAATGTACTTGTTACTGTAAAAAAAAAAAAAAATCAATCTCTAGATAATCACCCGATCGAGCTACATAATAACACTACATATCATATGCATTTTTTTTCATTAGCCGCCTCTATCAAACCTTGCTATTTTTCTTGATATGTTCCACGATGTCGCGTCAATCATGACTATTGGATAGAAATGATAAAGTAGCAGCATCTAGTTAGACTTCTCGATATAGCTTTAGTAAAAAGGTACATAAAGAAGTGTTTTTTTTATATAAGTACATAAAATCCGTTGGAGGCCTAGTAGCCTAAGACTCCGCAGACTTCGCGCTGAGGCTCTGCTAGGGTTTTTTCGCCTGGTTTCGCGCCTCCCCGCCTTCGTGTTTTGGGGGGGCTCCTCCCTCCCATAATGGCCGCCACTCCGCCTGTTTTTCCTCCTCCTCATTCCTCTGTTCTTGGTCCTTCCCCTGGGGGGCGCTCTTATGCTGATAACGTATCAGCACCTGCCTTCAAACCTGCTTCTTTCCCGGTCGCCTTCTACGCACCAAGTCAAAAGCTTTCTTTTAAAGCAGACGATCTTTCCGAAGGAAAGTCTATCTGGACTACAGCTCTTATCGGCTATTCTCTTGGTCCCCGACCTTACTATGAAAGATTACTTAAAGCCATGAAGAATCTTTGGTCCTTGAAAGGTTCCATGACTTTATTATCTCTTGCTGATGGATTCTTTTTACTGAAGTTCACCACTGTGGAAGACCTGGAAATGATTCTCTCAGGAGGCCCGTGGTTCCTTTTGGGTAAGCCATTCATTTTGCAAAGATGGTCGCCTAAGTTCAAGCCAAAACGCGACGAGGATGCCCCGATACCGATCTGGATCAAGATCGTGGATTTTCCGCTTGCGCTCTGGACCCCCACTGGTATCTCTAAAATCTCGAGTTTTATTGGCATACCTATTTCTGTGGATTCCCTTACTGCAAGCCGTTCTAGGTTGACTTTTGCAAGGGTATGTGTTCTCATCAACAAAGACTCTATTTTGCATGATGAAATCCCTATCGAAATTGATGGGGAAGATCTCGTTTTAAAAGTGTTATATGATTGGAAGCCTGATAAATGTGAAGGATGTGGTTCTATTATCCATCCTTACTCTCTTTGCCCAAAAAATCCTAACCCGCAACACATTCTCCCACCCCAACCTCCTAAGAACCGCGGTCGCAGCTCTTCCAGACCACATAACTCCAGGCCTCATAGACCGCACAGATCTCCTACTATCGTGCCACCTCCTAAACCCACTCCTCAAACAGTCAATGTTGAGTCCAATGTTACTATGCCGCCTCCTACCTCCAACTCTGGAAATCTTCCACCCGTCCAAACCAGCCCTGCCCGGGCCTCGCCTGCCCAACAGGCTATCCCTCCGCCAATCACCAATCCTCCTATACCAAACCTTAACTCACCGTCTCAAGTTTCTGCCTCCTCCGAAATTCCTACTTCTCCCAGAATCCTTAAATCTCCCAAAATACCCCTTTTAAACATGTTTGCTTCTCTACAAACTGACGATACTATCCCTGTTGATACTTTGGACATTAACTCGGAGTCCGGTTCGGCTTCCTGTTCCAATGCTGTGACCAACACTTTGACATCTAATTCTCAAGAGAAAATTATTCATAACACCAGAGCTTCTTCTGACAAAGGAAAGACACAAATCAAGTCAAAACCCCCTAAAGGGAAATCGGCCAAGAAGGCCAAATCTCAATTTTCTTAATGTCTATGCCAACTCTTGCAAGTTGGAATGTTAGGGGATTTAATAATCCCGACAAAGTGAGTTTTTGTAAATCGTTGATTAGCTCTCATGACCTCAAACTTATTTGTATTTTGGAAGCCAAAGTTTCTGCATCTTCTATTAATGATCAGTGGTTTTTGAGGACTCACCGTCTTTTTGAGAATGAAAATAGCTGCAATAACATTAC